GAATAGTCCCTCTCCAGCATCCTTCTCTTCTTGTGCCTTGGCATTCTAGTTTCTGGGTAGATCAGTCTGGCTTCTCTGCTGAGAGCACTGATCACAAGGGGATCCGTGAGTTAAACTGCTGATCTGAGAGTTAAATTGTTCTTCTTCAGGGACACTGGAAGGCAAAGGACCTGCTATGACACAAGTGGTCTGGTTCCTGTATATGCCAGGAACCCTTAGCAGCTTCGAGCGACAGACACTACCATTTCTTCCTGACCTCCCTCATCTACTAGGATCTTTCTCACACTAGCCTGTGAACTGCTCATATTTAGCTAGTTCTTGCTTTCCTTACTTCACCAAGAAGCTTTGCCTGCATGAGGACTGCAGAGTGCTTGATGCCAGTGTTACAGTACAAGCCAGCATACAGCCTCAGTATACATTACAAGCCAGCATACAGCCTCAGTATACCATTACTGACACATATGGCTCCCTCAGCATGTTACACCACAGCAGGCATTGTACTTACTTGCCTACTTGACAAAAAGGAGAAAGATTACCTTCCCGACTGAGCTTTCATACTTTTGGTACAGATTTATGCTTTAAGACAAATTATCTGAGTTACAGACATGCCCTTTAGAAAATCTGTTTTGCAAAAGGAGCAGGGGGCGGGAGGGGGGGGATATAATCTGGAAACAATCTCCGGTAATTGACTGGAATTGTCTTCTCAGCAACAACAGCAACAAAAAAGGCAATTGGATTAAATCAAGTAAAAAAAAAAAAAAAAAAAAAAAAGAGTTTTAATCTCAAAACCACCAGCACGAGCAATGAAAGCAAAGAAGTGGTGTCGTATTTCTCCTACTTCATACTTTCTTCATCAATCATGCAGATGTATGTGGTGCAGCAGAACTAATGCTCTGCTTAGAGAGTGCATGTTTAGGATTACTGGAAGTGAAGTTTCAGCTTGCTTAAAGAAGTACAGTTTAGCTTAGCATGCATATTTGATCAGAAAATGTAAAAATTACAAAAAGTTCAAATGCAGCCCTAAAATATGTGAGCTGGCCATACTCCCTGGTGTCTTCCAGACCATGACCATGCCTGAATACAGAATCAGTCCTGCACAAAAATCCCTAACGAGAGGAAAGAGCCACTTCATCCCAGAGCCTCAATACAGCTTTTTGCTATTTTGTTTCCAGGTCTCACACCTCTGCTCTCAGGTACTGCTCTAAGGAGGAAGCCTGAGCACTTCCACAGATGATTATCCACTGTGCTTGGTTACAACACTGATGCAGTGCCTTTCTGCTGCACTCAAAGCACTGCCATGCTGCTCAGATTCTCACTTTCCCTGATGCATTGATTCAAGCAGGAAGAGAACAGGATTCCTACGTACAACTCTACTCCTGATTTCCATGCTTCTTAAAACTGGCTTAGTTCATGCTTTCATGTGTGAGCTGAAGAAAGAATGATACAGAGAAGAGAAGCACATATATATAACTGAAAAGATATTATAAAATAAGGGCCTCCTAAGTTCCACTTACAACAGCTCCAGGCAGGTACCACACAGTGCAGTGATACCTATGGGCTAAATCCACTGCAGAATAGAGGTGGCATGTAGCAAATTTACATTAAATAGGAAACCCAGGCCACAATCAAGTCCCAGGTATTGCACATTTAAGTACAAATGTGTGATAACCATAGTGATGTAGATGTTCCCTATAGAGTCCATGGCTGGAGCATACCCTAGGACAGTGAAATGAGGGTGATCTCAGCTGAAGTGAGTCAGAGGTTTGGGGTTCCTGATATACAGCCTCTGAAGAGAAAATAAAAAACATAAAGCATTTGAAACCCAGGTTAAGGAATTACATAGACTCTGCTGCAATTTTTCTTGCAAGTGAGAGATGAAACATCTCTGCCTTCAGCATAACTGTGTAGAAGACTACAGATGCAAGACTTCACTAGAAAATTAAGCAGTTACGGCTCAGACCCTAACTGGGTGCTGGAACTATTTCTGTGCTGTTCAGATACATGAAGAGCCCCAGCTATGGGTTTGGTTTGGGTTAGCTGGGGCTTTGTAGAGTATTTCCGTAGCATAGTTTGGAAGTCGGGACCAGCAGACAGTTTGCATGAGGCCACTCTGGAAGTCCAAAAGAGTTGAAGAGTATGAATGTGGGCCACTTAGTTTGCTTTCTCTGCACAGTGGCACATGGAAAATTGCTGGCAGCACTCTAGGGGAACACCAGAGCTGTGTACTTTGAAATTAAGAAGCTGGTTATTTCCCTGCCTTTCACGGCACAGCACTGATGAGATATCAACACAATTGCTCATTCAGATGATTCTTTTTCCTATTGAATGAAAGTGGTTTTGCTCATGAAAAGACAAAACTGAATATGCAGGCATGATTCTCCGTGACACCCAGAAGTCAAATAAGGATGGAGTCAAAAGCATATTTAAGAGCTTAATTAAGGAGAACCTTTCACGCTCTGTAGAGCGCTTGCAGCTTCTCGTGCTGGCACCGCAGAGGTGAAAGTTCCTAGCCTTGGAGCGGTGAGGGGCGGCCGCGAGGTGGCACTGGACCCCGTGAAATACTCATTACCAGTTCAGTATCGCTGGAGCGCTTCAGGAGACTTAGAGCAGGAAATTCATTTAGAAGACTCACATTATACAGCGAATTAACTCTATCTGCCTGTCAGAATGGCTCTGCATACTTGTGATTATAGAGAAAACAGCTACAAGCTGCTAATGTTCCATCGCCAGAAGGATGTGCCAGCATGTGGGAAGACTTCCACTCAGGCAACCTTTTTCTGTTTCAGGAAGAATTGAATCTGTAAGCAGCAAAAACACACTTAAAGGAACAATGCAAATCAGAAATTTATCATAGAATGAATCACAGAATCATAGAATGGTTTGGGTGGAAGGGACATTAAGTTTGTCTAGTTCCAACCCTCCCAGGTGTCCCCTAGGCAGGGACACCTTTCACTAGACCAGGTTGCTTCAAGCCCCATCCAACCTGGACTCAAACATTGCCAGGTACAGGGCAGCCACAGCTCTCTGGGCAACCTGTGCCAGTGCCTCACCAAACTCACAAGAAAGCATTTTTTCCTAATCTCTAATCTAGATATACTCTCTTTCAGTTTAAAGCCATTACATTAAAACCATTATCCTGTTAAAAGGCCACAGGTATTGTAGAACACTGTCCCTTTAACTACACTTTATTTCTGCCTTCTTTTGTTTTTGTGGGTTTTGTTTTGGTGGGTTTTTTTTTGTTTGGTTTGTTTTGGTTTGTTTGTTTGTTTCTGGTTTTGGTTTTTTCTTTCCTCAAACATCAATTTGAATTTAATATGTTCACTTCCCATAAAATACACTGTATAAACTCTGTAAGATAAAACCCCTTCCACCACCATCCAGGGACATGCTCTTTTGACAGGGAGAAATGGGAATTACAAAACTCTCATGGAAGATGAATTGTATTTCACTGCCTAGGATTAAGTGAACCATAAGTGAGCCATTTGCCCTATTGACCCACAGCCTGGTACAAGGAACTCGTCAGACAATTTTATAGACTCAGAGATGCATCTGTCTTCAAGTGGGTATTTTTAAATGCGATTTTTAATAACAAACATCCTGTTCAAATGACTCCTTTTTGCTGTCTTCACTAACGCCAGTGGGCAGCCAAAGAAGACACTTCCGATCCAACCCCGAGGCAGTAGCCACAGGACATCGCTGGGGTGGAAATGCTTGGAAGGAATAAGCTTGAACCAACATCCAGTTAAATAGCGATAGCTGCAACAGGGACACAATGAAATGCTACCAGTGAATTCACACTGTGACACTTCACCAGTGCACGGCTCTATTAGTGCACACAGCGTGAGGATCTGTTTGCATTCAGGCACTGGCCCCCCATCCTCCAAGCGATCCGAAACTTGTCTTTTGCACTTATTTATTTTCCACATTCATTTCTCTGGTGAGTATTGAGACCAAGAGGGCATTTCAGTTCAAGTCTGCTGCTACTTCTCTTTTTTATAAGCTTTATATTTCTTCCGTTCCTTTTTGAAGAGATACTCAAACACGAGGAATATTTTTTTCCTTAAGGAAGGGAAGTGGTTGAGTTCCGCGTTTCCCCAGTAATATCTAGCGAAGGTTTTCGTTTTACTTAACTGCCTGCTACAATCTCAGCTCCGCTTTGTTCGGCTTCAGCCACTGTGGCTGGGACCTGGCGGTTTTCCCTCTCTGTTCAGCTCGCCTGCTCATCCAGCCCTTAATACCGGTCACCCCGAACTGCGGGGCTGCTGCGGGCGCCAAGTGGCCACTGTAAGGACCGGCCCGACCCTGCCCTGCCGCCGAGCCGCCACCCCGGAGGGAGAGCAGCACAAAGAGGGGTGGGGGTGTCCTCGCCCCCGGAGTGGCGCGGCCGGGGGACCTGCCCTGTGCTCCTCCAGAGGTGCGGTCCCGCTACCCGCCGAGAGCCTCCGGCGGAAGGCTCCTCACTGGCCCCGCTCGCTTCACGGCCCGGCCCGCGCACCCCCGCCTAGCCATAGCCACCAGCCGTTTCCATCCATCCCACAATCACCGATCCTGACGACCCGACCCCATCCCATCCCATCCCATCCCATCCCATCCCATCCCATCCCATCCCATCCCATCCCATCCCATCCCATCCCATCCCATCCCATCCCATCCCATCCCATCCCAGCTGCCCCCCGGCACGGCCCCTCAGGCGCCTCTGTCCGAGCGCCGCTCGCGCCCCGCCTCCCGCCTGCAGCGCTCTACCAATCACGACGCTCTTCACCAGGGATGACCTCACTCCCTACCTTCCCATTGGCTGGCTATATTAAGAAAGTCGCGAGCGCCTTTAAATACCTGCGCCGAGTGTAGTTTGCGGCAGTGGCACAGTGGAGCGACGAGAGTTGGGGGTGGTGGGGAGCGGCAGCGCTTTCCCAGCGGAGGGACCACCCGAGTGGCACCGGCGCCGCTTGTCTGCCGCCGTAGAAAACCCCAGAGCTAGGGGCCGGAGGCACAGTGCCGGTGAGAGGAGGGCGCGGCCGCCTGCCTGCGCGGGCCCGGCTCGCCACGGTGCCCTGTGAGAAGCGAGAGGAAGGCGGAGGCGGCGGCGGCGGCAGCGGGGAGGAGGGCGCTGCCATCGTCCTGCTGCACGGCAAGGCCAGCTTGGCGAGCCTGGCTATGGCTGCCATCCGCAAGAAGCTGGTGGTGGTGGGGGACGGTGCCTGTGGCAAGACTTGTCTCCTCATCGTCTTTAGCAAGGATGAGTTCCCCGAGGTCTACGTGCCCACTGTCTTCGAGAACTACGTGGCTGACATCGAGGTGGATGGCAAGCAGGTGGAGCTGGCCCTGTGGGACACTGCTGGCCAGGAGGACTATGACCGCCTGCGCCCCCTTTCCTACCCGGACACTGATGTGATCCTCATGTGCTTCTCTGTGGACAGCCCGGACTCACTGGAGAACATCCCGGAGAAGTGGGTGCCCGAAGTCAAGCACTTCTGCCCCAACGTCCCCATCATCCTCGTGGCCAACAAGAAAGACCTGCGCAATGATGAGCATGTGCGCAACGAGCTGGCCCGCATGAAGCAGGAGCCGGTGCGCACTGAGGATGGCCGTGCCATGGCCATTCGCATCCAGGCTTACGACTACCTGGAGTGCTCAGCCAAGACCAAGGAGGGTGTCCGGGAGGTCTTTGAGACAGCAACCCGGGCGGCCTTGCAGAAGCGCTATGGCACGCAGAACGGCTGCATCAACTGCTGCAAAGTCCTATAGGGTGTGGCTGGAGCATGGCGCTGGGTACAGCACCTGGGTCACCTGTTAGCAGGCAGAGGGGAGCTGGGTTAGGCATGCATATGGCATCTGCCTGTCCCCTTTGTGGGGGGGCTGCCAATGAATTGGGGTGGGGGCTAAGGGAGGGAGCATGCTCCCTTAGCCTTGGCCATAAAGGGTTGCACTGGCTCAGTTATGGGGACGGAGGGAGGGGTGGATTGCATGTCCTGAGTTTTGGGAATAAAGTAGGAAGAAGCCTTCTCCTACCATCAGCCCCTCCCAACAAAAAGCTGCTGAGACTGGACTGAGCACCTGGCTCTTCCCCTTTGCCCACCACCTGCTGCTCCCAGCCAGACTCTCTTTTACAAGAGGAGAGTAATGGAGCTGAGATGCTCAAAGGGACTTCTGCCACCTGCCTGCATGTGCATTCCCCAGGCAGGCTGGGGAAGGGGGCTGCATCTCCTAGGCTGCCTGCAGCATCCCCGCCTCTCCCAGAGGTGCCACAGCCTGAGCCTGACCTGCTGTGGGATCTCGTGCCCTGAAGACCAAGACTGAGAGGGGAGGGTCATCCCGAGTGAAGCCTGTATATATCTTACCTTTTCTGTCTTGTGAAAACTGGGGTAGTGCTTGTTGAAAGCAAGGTGGGGAGGGGGTGCCCAGCTGGGACTTGTGTTATGCAAAGGAACTTGCCCTGAGTGACTGATGCCTGCTGATAATGCAAGCCTTGAACTGACTCCAGATGCAGAAGCTACCAAGCTGGGAAGTGAAGCTGAACTGCTCTGTTCTCCTTGCTGGACATCCTCCTCCTGATGGATTGGGCAGGATGAGCAGGGGGAAAGATGACATTGCCATATTATGATCTTGCTGCCTGCGCCTTCCTTTAATGGTGTCTTCTGCAAGTATATTGATTTGGGTTTATTTAAAAGTTAATTTTCAGAATTACTTTGCACAACTTGGTGGATTTTTGGTGTTGTTGGGTATTTTTATTTTTTAAGTAAATACAATGCACTTGTCATCTGCATACAACACTGTAGCATTGGAAATGTTCTTACTTGATAACCTCATCTAGGTCTTGTTTCAAATTGGTTTCAACACAAGGCAAAATAAAACCACTGTATCTCTTTCCCTTGGACAAAAAATGGGTGAAAGCACTGCTCCTTACGCAGTGAGTATGTCAGACTTCAGTACTAAAGGGAAGTTTAAAGAATCAAGGTTTATTTAAAACTTATTTTCACAGGGTAGCCAGCCCAGGTGAAAATAATTTTGTGTTTCTCTGGTTCAGAGAACAAATGTATCCATTTATGTTTACTTTCCTCCCTCTTCCCTCAACAGTGGTACTGAGACTGTTTTTAATAAACTGACATGGCAAAAACTGAGATGTATATGATGTTTACATAAAATTATGAACTGTGTATGCAGTTTTTTATGTAAAATATTAAAAGATTCTATGCTGACACTTGGCAGAGCAGTGATGTGATTTATGGAGACAGTCCTTTGTATGCACCAAAACACCAAGGTGATGTGGAATGAGACCAGATTTTGCCCCATCTGCAAATGCTTTTATTTGTGTTTTGTGTTGGCTGCACTACTTGTCTGGCGGCTTTCAGAGGCTGGGGAGGCTATTTTCCTTTGAGGAAGCTGCTCCCTTAATTCTGTACAGGTGGCATAGTGGAAGTGTGCCCCACGTTCGAAGTGCTGACTAACCCATTTGCTGCTGAGCACAAGCAGCATCTGTGCCTGCTAGGCTGAGGCTTCTGGTGCTCCCTCACCACCTGCCCTTTACTGTCTGTTGGTGAATGGGATGAGCTTTGGGCTTGTGTTAGCAACAAAGCAGGCAGAAAACTGAAAAGCAGCAGTGGAAATAGAGCTTATTTTTCAAGCAAAATATTTAACTTAAAGCGATTTTTATTAGTGAACTGTGCTTTGCTTGGAGTGAGTCCCCATTTGGTACAGCCGGACATGCAGACAGGCTTTGCTTGCTGTTGAATCTGAAGCAGGAGGCTTTGTTTGTGCTGCAGCAGTCTCTCAAGTTGCCTGGCTAGGTTTTCTAATTGCTGGCCTCATGAATTCAAGTAGCAACATATAAAGCATAGGTCTCTCCACATGAGGGATCCCCAGTAGAATATTGTACCTGCCTGTCCCTCACTTCCTGACCCCTGCGGAGTCTTGGCTGCCTGGACAGGCACAGGCAGGAACACTAGCCCCTGTGGGTGCTGCTTGCAGCAGTGGCTGCTGGCAGAAGAGGTGGCCTGGTGCAAAATGCAGGACATGGTTTTCATCAAACAGTATAAGATCCGTGTCCGAAGTGCTGATATCTCCCTTTTTTTTCCCTTTCTCTGTTCATAGAATGAATCATAGACTCACAAGATGGTTTGAGTTGGAAAGGACCTTAAACATCATCTGGTTCCAACCACCCTGCCATGGGCTTTTCTGAACATAACATGTTCAGAAATGTTAAATACCAAGGCAGGCAAAACACATTTGGTGGCTTTTGCTCATTCATTCACAGAGGGCTCTGCCAGCTGCCGACTGACAGCACTGGGCCTTTTCTGACAGACTACAGAAATAGTGACTGTAAGTTATAGAAATAGTTCTTTGAGTATAGAAACAGTGAGCTCCTTGTTTGACAACTGGAAAGTCAATCAGAAATAGTGTGGAATTACATGGGTTTACATTCTGAATACTTCAAATGCTCAGTCCATGCTGTGAGTTTATTGCGCTGTTTCCTATGATTTCTAATGAAAGATAAGTGACATTTTCACTTGCACAGTTTAGTCAGGATTTCTTCAAAGGCATGTTAAGTCCCATGTTTTGGGTATCCACTTCCAAGGATTTCAGTTCTCCTGGTATTCAAAGGGTAGGTTTCTAATCTCAATTTGAGAACCCTAAAATCACTGTTTGGTCCTAAAATCTTAGGTGCTTAAAGGGCCACTGCCAAAGACCTCATTCTTGCAAAGGCACTCAAAGGCCCAGTTCTGTGCAGCATAGCACTGTTCTGTGCAATATCTGCCAGTGACATAAAAATTAGCATTGTAAAGTTTTTCTTTAACCTGATTGCAGTAGCTGCAAAATTTAGACATTCCGTTAGACTGCAGCAATAACTAATCTTCTCAAATCCCTAAAGGAGAAGGCATTTATATTTCTATTTTAAACACTGGGAAATGGGTCAGCATCACATCTGTATAATTAACTGTACCAGTATTTTCCACTAAGGTGCTTACAAGGTAATTACATTCATTATTTCCTATTGGACCTTTGCCCAAGTCAGAACTTCAGCATCCAAGGGGGAAAAGCTGCAAGAAAACACACTCCAGTTTTAACTGAGCGTGACCTTTCTCTGCTACTTGTGAAGCTGTGAGTAAGCCCCGGCAGAGTGAGATCACCAAGTGGGAGTCCACCCCTTGGGTCAGATGGTGGGACTGGAGCCAGCACTCTGTGCCTCCTTGCTTGCTCATTAATGTTAATGGCTTTGGTGGAGGGGGACACGAGGTGTGGCTCACCCCACCTGCCTTGACTCAACCCTGACATGGTCAGGCTGATGCCCCAGGGCCACACTGCTGCTGTGTAAGGATGTCGCACTGACCAACTGCACCCCATGGCTGTGTAACACACAGGGTGTGCCCACTGCTGGGACGAGGCAGAGCTTGGAGCAGGCCACCCCACAACTTGCACTGTGCCTTCAGACAGTGGTTTGGTGTCATGCAGACCTTCCCTTGCTGGTCTTCATATGGTCCCAGTCTGTCTTCTGTAACCTACTGACAGGAGAAGAGATGACAATGAGTAAGTTAGTCAGAGCATCAAAGGAAAGTCAACAACCAACTCATCTCACTGTCCCCACGCACACTGCTGGGCACACAGAAACTTTCCTGGCTGGGTCCACATGCCTGAACAGCTGTCCTCAGCTGAGGAAAGGTTGCACCTTCTCTTCTGGTGGGAGCCTGAGCTCCATGGCATCAATGGCGGTATCCTGTTTGCTCTGTCATGGTAGCTTGCTCTGTCATGATACCAGTGCATCCTTGGCAACAAATCCTGTGAATGTGGAAAAGCCTCCCTGAAAGGTCCACTCATCTCCATCATTCTCTGTCCAAGTGAGGAGGCTGCTTGTGCACTCTCCCACCAAGATCAGGTTGGACCCTCTGACAGTATAAGGGTTTCTTGTTTGGGCAGCCCAAAAATGAAGGCACCCAGGGAGGGTCAGGTCAGCATCACCTTGTGTCCTCCTGGAAACAGCAACAGCAGCTGTGAGTAGTCCTGGTGTGATCAGAGACTGTCTGTTTAGAAAGCACACTCTGGGGTGTGCCAAACAAAGAATAAGTCATCTTTGGTGGGACAAACAAGTCAGGAAAAATCCTTGGTAATTTTGACAAAATATTTTTTAATGCACTTGATATACATTGGAATTAAACTACATTTCTGTATGGTCATGGTTGGACTTGATGGTCTTAAAGGTCTTTTCCAACCTAGACAATTCTATGATTCTATACATGGTTTTGATAGTTTTTTTTTTCAGCCATGTGCAACTCCACATCCTACAATGGGGTTGCATGAGTGCAAGCAGATGCAGAATTTGAAGCAATATCCTCTTATATGGCTTTCTGGTTTTGCAATAATAACTTAATTTAGCTCTATTTGCCTTACACTTTGTTGGACAGGTTGCAAGTCTTTTTTAGCAATTCAATACAGAATTGACATAAATTCCCTGAAGTAAGAGAAAAAAAGAAGAGAAAAGTACTTTGAGGAGCTCCACAAGTATTTTACTAGAATCAGTGTCACTGACTGGAATTCCCTTACAGATTTTATTCCCTGACTACAGAAAGTAAAAAAAACCCAGTTTGATCCTTCATATTTTAGTGGACTGTAGCACTAGTGAATCCAGTTCTTTTGGCTTTGCTGGTTCTGTAATAATACATATGTAAATAGAAATCACATTAATAATCCATTGAACTAACTTTAAAGAACATGTCTAGACAAGCCATTTACCCCTGCAGCTCTGAAAAAGTGTTTACAGATCTGGCTGTGTGTATGCATGAAGATACAGATGTGCCAAGTCAGCAATTCAAGCTTCCTCACAGCAGCCAGCAGATATGGTGGGGTGGAAGAAGCTGGTAAGCATCTACTGCAAGGAAGCTTTTGGAGAAGGCTTTAGACCTGCTGCTGGAGTCTCTGGAATCTTGTGGAGCTCCTTGTGGACACCTTTAGATGTGAAGTTCAAGGGAAGGAAGGATTTCAGCTCACTTCAGTAGTTGTGAAGTTACATATCTCATCCAACCTTATTGTCCAAGGTCCCTTTACTGCCAGCTTACAGCGACAGGCAGCTCCAGAGGACCTCTCTCCAACTGCCTGGCAGCGGATGTCCTCACCATGTGGAAGGACTTGCAGGTGAAGCTGTGTGAGATGGGCTTTGCTGACACCACTGCCTGCTCACCTCCTACCGGGCTGGCTCACACCACCATGGGTCTATTCCCACCAGCAGCATTCACCCTCCATTTTTACATGACTAAAATAGAGGTGTCTGTTTCCATGCCCTGGTCGTTAGCAGGAAAAGCAGGGTCTGAGCAACTTCCTACAACAGTAAGCAACTCCAGAGAGAACAAATTAGGGTAAAATAGTTTGTGAGTTGTAGCCTCAGCATCGTCAAACCTAGGACCTGGAGGGTATGTGTATATACCTATGTGAACTATATGAGAGACACTGGAACAGGTTGCCCAGAAAAGCTGTGGCTGGAAGTGTTCAAGGCCAGGTTGAACAGGGCTTTGAGCAACCTGGTCTAGTGGAAGGTGTCCCAGCCCATAGCAGGAGGTTGGACTAGATGATCTTTAAAGGTCCCTTCCAACCCACCCTGTCTATGGTTCTATGACTTTATGTCTTTAAGTAAGTGCTTGATTTGAGTAGCCTGATGGACATTTTTTCCAATGCCACTAGAGGAAGGGAATGAGTTGTGGTTCCACCCTTTCCCCTCTGTCCTGGAATTTTTCCAAGTTCATGCTGAGAGCAAAACATTTTCTTCAAGTTTGCTCCCAGTGACAGTGGTAAACCACAGTTTGTGGTAAGCTGCAGTCAGATAGATAAAGTTTTGTGGCATGCACTCATGCCCTGTGCAGAAGAGATCTCTCTCCAGTTCTTTAGGGAGTGTGTGAAGTGAGGCTTTGCGGTACCTGTAAGAGGTGCCTATACATGTCAGCAGTGTATTATCCATTTGTAATTCAGAAGTGAGTACCATTTGGTATGTAGTAACTGTGGGCATATCTGCTTTTCTTACATGACTGAAGCATTGAACTCGTGCTAAAAGGTGGGGTGGAAGAGTGGGGATAGGCACTGATGTGATACCTACACTGAACTGTAGCAGCAGAGCAAGTGAAATACCAGATTGGTGCCTACAGCATGTAATAAATGTATGTGTACATTTTCCCCCCAGCTTGCTGGTCTGTGTGGGTTTTTTGTGTGTGCTAAATCTTG